TTTTTTCTTTTTTTTTCCCTTTTCTTTTTAAGACCTTTATTTTGCACCTTATTCTAAAGGCTTAAGGCTCGGATCTAAAGTGAGCTGGGCCTCCTCCTTTTTTCCCCCCTGTTCTTCTGTGGGGGGAATAAAATCCCTCTTTCCTAGGAGAAAAAGCTCAGCTGGGGGAAGCAAACCAGCATCATCTGCGTGTCCTGCCTGGCCTGCCCCAGCTCCGAGCAGAGGAGCTTTCCCTGAAGCTGTGCCATGGGCACGCCGTGGAGCTGCTGGCTGATGCCAGAGGCTGCTGGAGCTTGGCCACGGATGAGCCAAGCAGCAGAGAAGTCCCCAGGAAGAGTTTTTTGAGGAGGAAAGGGCAGCACAGCGCTCGGGAGTGGCGGAGGGATGCTTTGTGCAAAATGCTTCTCTTCAGCAGGGCAGGGGTGTGCGGGAGGTGGATTTCCATCTCCTGGAGAGAGGGATTCTTTGGGGAGGACGAGGCTGCAAAGGGAGCTTCATCTCCTGCCTCCCTCCCTCCCCAGCAAACCCAGCTCAGCGGGTGACACTCGCCCATCACTCATCACCAAGCAGATTTTGTCACCTTCAGCAAAGCTCTGGTGGTATTTTGGCTCGTTCACCCAGAAGGCTTTAAATTCTCTGTGCCTCTAAGCTCAAGGAGACAGCAAAGCTGTGCTTGGCCCCTGCTCGTGGGGGCGGTGGGGATGGCAATCCCAGATGACTCTTGCAGTATTGGATCACTGTATGCCATTAAAAAACAGCTTGTTCTAGGTCTGGTGTCTTCTGCACGTGGATATCTGTGGAGGCCTCTGGCCCCTGCCAGCCCTGCCTGGAAGAAATGCCTGCAATGAACTGGTTTCTGATAAGATGCTATCTACAGCGTGGGGCGGGTTGGGAACTGGGGGAATTCCATGTTGTAAACAGATTTGGCTCCTGGAGAGGGCAGAGGATGAAGTGCAAGTACTGAGGCTGTTACTGGGCTGGGAGGATGGAAAAGGAAGGGAAGGGTGGGCATTTAAAAGCGGTCTGGTTGCAGTTTCTGGGTCAACAGTGGTGGAGACAACGGGGTGCTGCTAGTGCTGCTAAGGGTGACGTTCCTGCAAGAGGAGAAAAACTAAACCAAAGAGCATTCAGTGACACAGAGGGCACGAAAACACAACGGGGAAAGGGAGGCTGAGCAGGAGAAAGGGGACCTGGTCTCAGATCAGCATCCCCCAGGTGCACAGCGCTCCCACTAAATGATACTTGAGATATTTGAGAGAGGGATGAGAGATGGGGAGGGATGGAAAATGCAGGATTTGTCTCATTTCTTTGACACAACGGTAATCCAGAGAGTTTAAAAAAAAAAAAATCCCCTCCCCTTTAACATTTCTGGTGCAGAGGTTTTGGGTTTGTTTGTTTTCTTTTTTCTTTCTTGTTTGTTTTGTTTTGTTTTTCAAGTCGGTTTTTCAGAAATATTTTTAAAAATTGTACATTTTATAAAGTTTATCAAGTATTTTCATATTTAAAGCCAAATGTAAATAGAAGTCTGTAAAGGAGGACAAGGAGAAGACAACGAAAAGGCCACAAAAAAAGTATCAATTCAGCTCAGCAGTCTCGGCTCGCTAGGACTAGATGCTACAGGTTAGCATGATTTTTAGCAAATTACTTGCAAGCCTTATAGGATTCCTAATGCTCTGGACTTCTCTTTATTTATTTTTTAAGCATGGACTTTTCATTTGAGAACACGTTCTAGTTACTGGCGTTTTTGCAGAGCTCCCAGAGCCGTGTCGAGGGGGGTGTGTCGGTGTAATCCATTGCTAATCTCTGCTTGTTCCTTCTTTCCCAACCCTTTGTCTTTGCCCAGGGAATCCCACTTTTCAGCCCTGGCTCCGGGAAGTTGCTGGGAAGAGCCCTGAAAGTGTTCCCCTTCCCCTTTTCACCATCAATTTTGGCTTTCTCAGCAGCAAATTGGAGTAATCATTTAAAAAATTGCTATTTTTAAGGACTAGGCAGTGACTGACATCTTTCCTTCAGTTCCCATCGATCGTGGGCCAAGCTTAGGCTGACTTAAAACATTAAAGTGTAAACCTTAAACTCTAAACCTTAAACTGTAAACCTCCAAGTTTAAACTGACGGGGCTCTACCCGCAGCCTCCCCCAGGCCTGGGTTCAGCCTCTTTATCCGGGATAAATTGGCTCACCGGGCTCGCACGGAAGCTTTTATCCTGTCTTTTGCTTAGGGGCTGGGGGGGAATATGTTATTTCTGCCCTTCCCTGAAAATACTTGAATGAGACACATTGTCTGACCCATAATTCTGTGTACACTGACAGGAGCAGAGGCGGGTGGGGATGCTCCCCTCCCTCCGTCTCTTCTGTGCGAGTTCTCCTGGGTTAAGTGGCCGGGGTAGGAACCCTCACTCATTAGCCAGCTTTAATTAATTTAATTTCACGACTCTCCCAGCCGTGAAAACACTTCTGTGTTAGTAGAAGCCCTCGGAAAAAGACAAAGGGTTCAGATATTTAATTTGTTCTCTGATTTTTTCTTTTTTGCAATGGATTACAAGGTAAAACTGAGAAGTACTGTAATGTCTTTAATTCTGGCTGCTCACCATTGTGGAGTAGAAGGTGCTGCACAGTTACCACCCCACAGCCCATCAGAAGCTGATTTTGTAAGGACTTTTTTTGGCCTGCAGCTCTTGTAAGACGAACAATCTCGGCATCTGACAGTTGTCCATGACTATTTTCCTGTTTGCAGCCTTTTTGTATCGAAGTCTTCCTAATGTACTGCACAAATTGTGGATTGTACAGATTTTTATATATTATGTCTTATTTTATTATTTCTAAATAAATAATTAAAAAAAAATGAAAGAAAAAAAACCAAACTTGAGGATGAGCTCGGTGTGTGCAGCCCGTGTGTAAAGGAGGAGGGAGATGGGTCTGGAGGGGGATATTGAGCTGTGTTTATGGTTGTCTGAGCACAGGCATTGTCTGGAGAGCTTGAGGAACAGACAGCTTGTTCTCTGCCTCGACAAAAGGCAGGAGGAAAGGTGATCCCATCGTTATTTCCCAGGGGAGAACACAAACGAGACTTGGACCGGAGGAAAATCTGCCCCAGGACCTTTCTTGAGGTCACACCTGGGACTGCACAGCCCCAGGTCATTCCTTGCTCCGAGTGGAAATGGAAGAAAAGCTCCAAAGCAGGGAAGGGGGGAGGGATGAAAGCACCCAGAGCATCAGCAAGGGATTAAAAAATTAAGCAGGAAAGTCATCTTGAAATCCCCGTGTTTCGTGTCTGCCAGGAACATCTTATTGAAACGCTCAGTTCCACACGGGCTGGGTGGAACCTGCATCCCTCATTTCCCTGAACCTGCTGCCACCAGCACAGGGAAGTGCAGAGGAGCCACAAAGAGCTGTGAAATCCTGATTTGTGTGGCCTCCAGGGCAGGTATTGAGGCTGCACTGATGCCTCGAGAAGGCTGAGCTGGAGCAGAGGCTGGCCAGAGCTACAGAATAAAGCAGGGATTTATCCAAAGGATCTCCTCCATGGATCCACCTTGGGCAGCACCAGAGCCCAGCCAGGGCTGCACCCAAATGACCCAAAATGGTCCCAAAATGCACGAGCGCTCCCGGGGCTCTCCCTGGGATCAGTTCTGCTCCATTGGCACCTTGGAGTTCATTGTCCCATTCCAGCTCCAGCCCAGGCAGTCCCATCCTGCTTGTTTTTCTCTCTCCAGCCCACGCTGTTTGTGCTCCTGGGCTGAGGTTTGGATCATTTGTCCTTGGTGCCCAGCTGGAGCAGGAATTGTTTTGTCTCTGCTCTGTGCAGAGAGCTCAGCATCCCCTCATGTGGAGCCCAGAGCCACACACTGAAGCAGCACAGAGTGTGAAAAATAGAAAAACTAAACCTGAGGCATCAGCACAACCATGACTCAGCTGCCAAGTGCTGATGCAGCGCGGATCAAACGCTGCTGCCCCGGCTGGGGGAACATTTCAGTGCAGCTCTGTCCCCTCTGCTGCTTTCCCAACCTTTAATCAGCCTGCGATGCCATTTAACCCCGCCTGGGCTGGAGCCCTGACCCCGCTGAGCAGGACTCTATTTATACATTTAAATTTACTTTTCGAATCGAATGGTCTCTGGGAAAGCTTATCATCATAATGACAGGGCTGGATTTAGAGGCACAGATTAGCTGCCACCGCCTGCATCTGCCTCTTCTCGCCGCAGGGACAGCCTGGGGACCGCTCCCCGGCCCGTCCCCAAATCATGAGCACCCTCTCCTGTCGGTGCCTCTCCTCCTCTGCTCGCCCCGGCTGGAGTCAGCACCAATTAAACCGAATTTTGGTGGCCAGCAAGGCAATAACTGAAGTTTTCTTGCCCTCTGCGCCCAGCTGAGCTGGAGGATGCTCTGCAGGCTCCAGGTGTGCTGGCCCAAGGCAGGCAGAGGGAATAAAACCCCGCAGAAAGCGTGGGGGAGTTGCAGGGATGCTGCTGGCTGCTCCTGTGTCCGATGATGCCCTTTTCTGACCCAGAGATGGGGCAACTGAGAGGCGTTTTAAAAAGCTTTTATTCCATTTTCAGTCTCATGTGAAGGGTGAGACAACACAGATGTTACAATCCATGCAATTCTGAAGCAAATATTTGAGCATTTCTTCAGGGACTGGTCAGCTATAAAAGGACTAAGCTGTCCATTTAACATTCAATTTTTACAAATTTGGATATCTCAGGATTCTTTTTAACACCACGCTTCTGCCAAAAGAGCTCTGTGACATTACCAATTTTCACAGCCCAAACATCAACATAAACCTCAAGATTTGTAGTTTTTGGAGGTTGAACAGGGAACATCTGGCATGAACTGGAGTTTCACTGCTCGTGGAATTGTTGGGGTGAGCTGGTGTGGGATGTGGTTCAC